CCCACTCATCAAGCATTTATTGGGGACTGTTCCTGCTATGTAAATACTATGCGCAACCTAATTTAACTCCCAGCCACCCCATAAAACAGGTACTATTATTTGTCAAAGTGCTGGATTTACAGATGAAGAAACTAAGCTCAGGGGCGGCTAACTGACTCCACCTAAGACCACAGAGCTGATGAGTCAGGGTCTGAACCCATGGGAGGCTGCTGGAGCCTGAGTTGTAACTTTGTGTGCAGAGGAGGGTGTCTGGCCTGTGGGGGGAGGGAGGCGCACGGCTCCTACCAACAGATAGCTCCTGTGGCACTGAGTGGGCTCCTCGGCTGTCAGGATCTCTGCCAACGCCTCGTACAGCTCGTCCAAAGGCTCATCATGAGCAGCTTCGTGCTGGGGGTGGTAGAGCGAGAGCTTCAGCAAGAGCATTAAATATGGACCCTCATGAACCAAAGGTCCTGTCTATTTGCCTTTACTCTGATTTCTAAAAACGACTGGAGGATTTTCACCAAATATGGTGAGGCAGATTGGGATGGGCTGACGTAACATAGGCTACCTGGCATATAAAAAATTCACTCAGTGCGGGGACCTGGGTATCTCAAAGAGGTATAGAGAGGGCGAGGGTGAGAATACGGAGTAATCTATGGCAGCAGAAACGGAATGGCATGAGAGCTGCTGTGTGTCAAGGACAGAGAGCTCTGCCCTTTGACCATGATGTCTGGGATGGAGAATACAAATGGTGCTTTTAAGTGGGCCCGGGCAAAAACCACAGGATGGGCACTCCACATTTCAGGGTGTGGCTTCATCAGTGGGCAACCTGTACTGCGCCCCACGGAGGTGGGGTGGGGTGGGGGGCATCGGTGGCCTTGCTCCCCCTAGTGGTGTGGGAGAGACCTGCTGGTGAGAACGAGGGATGGAGGCAACGGAGAAGCTGGGATCGCTCCATGTGCTAAGCATGGGTGAGGCACGGCCCTTGTATTCAGAGGCCAAACAGGTCAGGCCTGCTACTGACCACTGAGGTTTTGTCTTACTGAACTCCAGTCTAACATGAAATTCAGCAAATTTGGGTTCAACCTTAAAATCCATCCTCTATCAGTCAGGAAGAGAGCTATTCCAGTAGTTCATTGGGAGGAAGGTAGTAAGGGGAACTAGTTACAAAGGCATTGCAAGGCCTAAAACCTTCAACAAGGACAGTGCAGCAATCCAGAGATTGGCAACAGCAGGAAACTGTCAAAACCTCTCAGGTGGGAGAAGAGAAGAAGGTGGGTATTCGATGCTCAGGGCTGCCCGGTAGAAATGACAACTCGCACAGGGACCACAGAGGAGACGCGGCTGCTGCTGGAGATCCCTCGAGGCAGAGAGGGAGAAAGGCCTGGCGTTCTCTTTCTGCCCTCCATGGCCTTTCACTGGTCGAACCCAGCTGGGAGACTGCTGCCCAGGGAGCACCTGCCATACGGGGTTTGCAGAGGAGGCAAAGGGCGTGGGACGGATCTGAGCCCCAACAAGCAAAGCTGGGCAGAGGGCCCACTTCTGGAGAGCCAGCCAAGTGCCAGATGCTGTCTGGCCACCAGGCAGACATGCCCACCACTGACCTTTCTGATGAGCTCCGAGAGAAAGCACCGGGCATATTTCACAGACGGCGGATGCTTCACGCACAGAGGATGTTTCACGGTCTGTGACAAGGGACACATGTGAGTTGCTGAAGAAACCCGGCCTGAAGTCTCCCATGGGCTCTAAGTGCCTACAGAGCAAACCCCAGTTACCCGATCCCTCAGCAAACACATACAGACACAAAGGTTCTGGCTCTAGGTGATTCTCATGCATCAGAAAGAGTAAGTTTCAGAATAAGCCCTTTCCCAACACTTCTCTGCTGCAGCAGCATAGGCTGTGGCGGTGTTTCTAACACCCATTCTAGGCAGGTACGTGAGGCACACAGACCCAAGCAAACACCCTGTTATTGACTGAATGTCTGCATCCCCCCAAATTCATATGTGAAATCTAACATTCAATGCAATGGTTTTATGAGGTGGGGCCTTTTGGGAGTGATTAGGTCATGTAGGTGGAGCCCCCAAGAATGGGATTAGAGCACTTATATGAGAGACCCCCATAGCAGTCCCTTGTGCCTGCCACCATATGAAGATACAATGAGAAGATGGCCCTCTATGAACGAGATAGCAGACCCTCAGCAGACACTGAACTTGGCACCTTGATTTTGGACTTCGCAGCCTCCAAAACTGTGCGAAATAAATTACTGTTGTTTATAAGCCACGCAGTCTATGGTATTCTGTTATAGCAGCTGGACTGGTCTAAGACACACCCCTTCCCAGGCAGCCAGCATGAATGAGAGTTTTTAGTAAGGACAAGTGTGGGATTGCCTGGCTCCATGGAAGAGGCAAGAGCCCAAATGGTGGAACAAGGCAGATTTGGCACCTGTCCTCCTGAACTCATACTCCAGCCAAGGAGATGAGCAGGAGCCAGACCATGATGAGTGCTCTGGTGGCCAGGGCAGAGGAAGATGGGGGCTCCACCTGGGACGTGGAGGAGGGGAAAAAGGGCTCTCAGGGGTGACAGTTTAGTGAAATCAAAAAGCTGGAGAAGGAGATCCAGGCAGAGAGAACAGCTTAAGCAGGCTCCAAGGTGGCCACAGCCTGGCATTTTGGGAAGGAGGGCAGGGTGACAGGAGCAATGAGAGTAGGGACCAGTTCCAGGGGCCTGTTGGCTGGAGGGACATTATTTTACCCAAGGGCAATAAAATACCCACACACTGCTCAGGGGCTTTCTAGTTGGCTGGTGTTAGGTGGGGTAAGAATCAGAGTAGCCTACAACGAACAATAACCTTGGACATCTCTGAGCTCACAGTCCTGAATACTAGATTGCCCTGAAGTCTTCTCCAGTTACAGCTCCACCTTCTCTACTTGGTGGTCAGAAGGATACCCCTGGTTTACCCTCCATATAGGAATTCTTTTTTTTTTTTTTAATCCTCAACTGAGGATACATTGATTTTAGAGAGAGTGGAGAGAGAGAGAGAGAGAGAGAGAGAGAGAGAGAGAGAGAAACATTGATCAACTGGTTGCCTACCGTTATGTCCCCTGACCTGGAATCAAAGCTGCAACCTTTTGGTACACGGGACTATTCTACAACCAACTGAGCCCCATTGGCCAGGGCCACACAGGAATTCTTAATCTGGGTTCCTTGGAGGGCTTAGTGGTGGGAGGAGGATCTGTGACTCCCCTGAATTTGTATTCCAAATGTATTCTGATGCTTTTTTTTTTCTGGGGGGAGAGCCCATACCTTTGGGTTTTGAGAAGGGTTCATGACCCTTCAGAGGGCTGAGAGCCAGGAGGCAATGTAATCTGCACTTGATCTACATGGCCAGGGGCAGGTCCGGCACAGTGGTGGTTCCACATATACCCCCACCCACACACATCTTAGAATCCAAAACTCAACTCCAAAAAGCTGGGGCCCACCTACATCTGGAAAAGAGACACAAGTGGGCAAGACTTGCATCTTTATTTTCCCCTTAAATGTAAAGAAGAAATTCTCTGAACAGTTAGCAAATGCTAGATGTTCTCACAGCTGTCACTTGTTTTCTCTGTGGACAGTTTAAAAAACATCTGCCAGACTCCCTCCTCTCAAGTAGATTTTTGTATATTCTGATATCTTCATCTAAGACAGAGCTCTCTGAGGTGCTCCCACCTAAATGCAGAGCCTTTCTTTTTAAAGGAGACAAGCACAGGCACTGCACTTCTGTCCTGTCCTCAGGGGCACGTCAGGAGGCTGGTGACTGCATCCCAGTGACTGGCCCTGTGAGTCTTACCTTCTGCAAAATATCCAGCAGCAGCTCAGAACCGGAGTCCCTTAATTTCTCTTCTAGGCTCTATTTGGAGATAGATTGGGGGAGAGAGAGAGAAATCAAGACATTTTCACAGGAACATTACACATGCAACAGGACATGTTGGAAAAGTGCTAAGTGATCTCTCCCCAGGGACCTGGGCGGGTGAAAGCCTGACCTTGACAAGTCTCAGGTTATACCTGGATGAGTCAGAGAAAGAATATCAGGAGATAGAGTCTTGGTTTGCATTAGCCCTGGCTGCTAAGCCTCGCCTGGGTCACAGACCGGCTTGGTGGCTGTCCTTGTCAGCCAGGAATTACAGTTAGTCAGGATGTCAGCGCCTGGTGGGCTTGCCTTGGACTTGACCCTGAGTTAATGTGCAGCTGCCAGGCCCAGCTTATTCACTGTCCTCTCCTGCAGGGGGCTGACTCCTGGTAGTGAGCTCAGGCTCCAGAAGCAGGCAGACTCCTGGCTGGTGTGCGACCCTGGACAGATCCCTTTGTTTCTCCAGACGACTTATGACAAGCTGTAAGACTTGGCCCTGGCCTCTCTCTCTCACCTCACTTGCCATCATCCATCTCACCTCTGCTCATGCCACTCCAGCCACACTGGCCTCCTTACTGCAGCTTGCTCTCACTGGCAAACCTCTGCACTCCCTGCTCCCCAAGACCTCCCACAGCCTACTGCTTCACTGTTCAGGTCCCAGCTCAAATTTACCCTCTTGGAGGCCTTCCCGGATTCCCCTCCTTTGATGAAACATTTCCTTGTTTTATTGACTTTATAGCCACTGCTATCATCCCGTGGCGTTTTCTTTTTTTAAATACATTTTATTGATTTCCTACAGAGAGGAAGGGAGAGAGATAGTCATTAACATCGATGAGAGAGAAACATCGATCAGCTGCCTCCTGCACACCTCCCCACTGGGGATGTGCCCGCAACCAAGGTACATGCCCTTGATCGGAATTGAACCTGGGACCTTTCAGTCCGCAGGCCGACGCTCTATCTACTGAGCCAAACCGGTTTCGGCCCGTGGCATTTTCTTATTTATTCATTTACGTGTTTATTCTCTGGCTCTCCCATCTGAACAAGGCCTCATCTGTGTGCTGCTGATCCTGGTGCCTGGCTCCTGGAAGGCAGTCAGTAAACATTTGGATGGAATAAACATACTAGCTAACACTTACATCCATATACCATGAGCCAGGCACTGCCTCAGATGCTTCACTGTCATGTACTCCTGATAACAGCCCTTTGAGGTAAGCATCCTGTTTTACTAATAAGAAAACCACAGCCCAGAAGTATGCAGTCACTTGCCCAAGGTCACACAGCTTGTATGGGATTGGGCCAGCATTCCAAGCAGGAGGCTCTCTCTCAGGTCTGCACTCTACCTCTCTTCTAGTCTAACAACCTGTGTGGCAAAACACAATAATAGCAATAGCACCCACCACATGGGTGTTGTGGGCCAGCCTAAGCATGCATTTAGCATGGTCCTGGCACAGAGTATGCGCTTATTTTATGTGAACAATTTTAGCTGCTATGGAATTGGGTTCCATAGATGCTGTTAGAAAGGTTTACATTTTGGGTTAAAAATGTACATATCCCTTTGTGACTGGAAATGAGCTCTCAGAATGCTAAATGGTTTATGTCAATAAAATACAAATGACTAACGAGGGGGAAGACCCGGGAAGAATACATATCCAAACTGAGTCATCCCAGTGAGCTCACCGCACATGAATTATAAAGGAGGCAATGTCATTGGAAATCTCCTTGGCAGGAGGAAGCTGCTGCCATGCCATTGGCCTGTGCAGTGGCAGGTCCCCAGGGCAGGGGAGCCGAGACCTCTACCGTCTATTTTCTGGCAGGCTTTGTCCCTCCCTGTTTCTTTCATCCGAGGCTGAAGGGCCTCAAAGTTGCCTCTGAGACGATTTTGTCCAAAGCTGATGACAAAGATGAAAGCACCCAGGGGCGTGCGTGTGTCTGTAATTGGGTGCGGGGGTTGTCTGTGATCTGGTCACTGCGCTCATTGCAACCTGATCTCCAGCTGTGCTGAGGCCTTGATTGTTAAAATGGGCAACAGCAGCTGTTTCTCATGACCGGGATGATAACTGGCAAAAAAAAATAAGTCATGAAAATTATTGGGAACTGTCCATGACCCTAAAAATCTGAGTGAAAAAGGGAGTTGGGAGGAAACCCCGCATTCCTTCAATTTGTGGGACCCAAGTCAGCACAGGTAGGGGAGGGCGGGAAGGGCCCAGAGGGGAGGGAGCTGATGGCCGGGGGAAGGGTGGGCTTCCCAGGGGCGCGCAGGTGCACCTCCTGCTCTCCGCCACCAGCCCTCGCGGCCCCGGCGCAGCCCCAGGACGAGGACCAGAGGTATGGCCCCGACACCCGAAAAAGCTGAGGCCGTCCCGTGGCGGGGAGGGAGCCCGT